TATCAACAGTAATTTTCTTCAATTATTCATTGATCAGATTCTCATATCAGTTCAATATCCAATTCTATCCAGATCAGTTGATATACAAAGAAAAAATTCTTTTTAGTATCCATTAGTGAAGTATGAAAAGTGATATGAGAAATAATGCTCTTCTCTAGTAGATTTTCTTCAATAGGCGATCGTCACTTTTCAAATAGATTTTCCATTAAATGTTTTGTTCTTTTATTTGTCATCAACTATTCTAGATGATTTTCTTAAGAAATTTCTCGTTTTTGAGAAGAGGAAATGATGAAGAAGAATTAATTTTGAAAGAAAGATTCCGAAATAAGAAATAATTCCATTCGATAGGTTTATTTATGAAATTGAAGATGATTTGAAATGATATCCAAATGAAATAGAAAGTATTTTCAATTGATGAAATGAATATTCTTTATAATAATCTTGAGAGAATTTCATTGTGATTGAATTGATTCAAATTGAATTTTTTTTGTTTTGATTGTCTCGAATGAAGTAGGGAAGCTTCCTGAGAGAAATTTCTTCAGAAAACGATTTAGAAGTAAGAATAACAATTAACGAAAAGATCCAAATAATTTTGAAGAATTTTTTTTTCAAAGAAAATTCTAATCAAACAAAACATAACTTTGTCTGAAAGATGTTTTTTGAAAGATTTTACAAAAAGATATCATATCACTTAAATAAACCAATAATTTTCTCATATTCTCTTCGTCAAAGAAAATAAGCTTGTCATTTCGAATAATTCATTTCTGTAATTAGACAGACATTTGATTTCATATGGAATAACATAAATTTTCATCAATGGAATCAGTGACGAGTCAACTTGTGTTCTAATCTATAGATTCATATCTATGTCATTCTATTCAACATATCACATCTGACATAACTCCAATCGATCGAGCAATTTTCAATTGAAATATGTCAAAAAAAATCAATAAGAGAACTTTTCAAAGATGATTTTCTCTTGAAAAAGAACTTTTATCCATTGGATGAGAAGATCTTCGACGGAAAAATTGAAGAATTTCCTTTATTAAATAAATAATTTCATGATTGATATACGTAGTAGCTTTCCACAATCAAATTTCATAGATCAAATGGTTTTTCAAAATTTCTCATTGAAAAGTTAATCGATATTGAATTGATTACAACTATTCCCATAGTCAAATCAGTTATCAATCGTTAGAAAATCAGTTCAATGATTGTTATCTCTCGATAAATATATTTAC